AGGCACATAGGAGGAGCAAACCGGGAAATGGAGGGAGCAAGAGTGAGCCTATGAATGATTTCGATCGTAGTAACTTGTCTCCAAATTTTTGTGTCACTTGAAATGTAGCTCCTACGTACGTTAAACTTGTAACCAGATAGTGGATGGAGGGTTGAAACTGTACAAGATCATATCAACTGGTCTATCCATTTGGTGGTTTTGAGTTAAATCCATTTGCCGGGGCGGGGCGAAAATTGAAAATTGTGATTAACAATTTAACGCTTTGTAATTCATTTTCTTACGTTTTATTCTAATCACTATCTTGTAATTTAACAGAAGGTATCATTTGACATTATTGCCCTCGCCAAATATGCCTTAATCAGTTGAGACTTTGAGTATCAGCATAACCATCTCATGTATTTATGATCATGTTTAACTCTTGATACGTCTGTAGCCTGCATTAATGATGTTCAAATTTACATGGGTTCAGATAGGAGAAATTAAGCCGACGAACAAGTGGAATTTGTAGTTGAGTAAGTTTTTGAAACGGGGAACAATCTAACGTTACTGCTCGTGGGATCTGAACGACTCTTGAGGTTTGCCAACTAACAAAACAACACACAACAAATGAAACCATCTTTTTGCCCTTGAACAAACACTTGCCGCAATTGTTTACGTTGTTAACCACGTTGGTGCATTTTCCACGGTAGATACGCTCTCCAAGCTTGCACTTATACCCACATTGCCCGCAGTGCTTCCTTTCTCCGACAACATAAACACCTACTGTCTTGCAGCAATAGACATTAGACAAGACTCTTCCACTGTTAGCTTTTGGTTTTATTTGCTCACTGGTGAGGATTTTAGCTTACGATCTCTACTTCTGCAACACTCCTCTATGGGGCTAAAATGTAATCCAAATTTGTATTTGGCACTTGTTTAATGCATACTAGTTTACACGCGCGCGCACACAAAGTGCGTGAATTTTTTTTTTTTTTTTTTTTTTTAATATTAAAACAGAGAGGATGAGAGAGAATGTGGGAATGAGGAGAAAGAGGTTTTTTTATTTTTTATTTTTTTTAATTAAAGATGTTAAAATCGCCTATAAGTGATGCTTAAACAAACAAAAATAAATAAAATTTAGGTTTGTGAAATTACATTACTGCCCTTAACTTTTTTATTGTGATAGAAGACTAAATAGTATTTTTCACCCTCTTTTGATTGACAAAGAGAGTTCTATTAATATGTAGTTTAGATAATAAAGACCTCAATCATCACCGTAACTAGCTTTATACACACAATAATTGTGTTTAAATGTCTAGCTGCAAATAACTCTAGATAAATAATAAATTTGTTTTTGATATTTTGTAGATGTCTTTGATGTATCGTTAAAGTTACATGATGAATCTTATTTTGTATATATATAAATAAAAGTGTAGCTGCAATGTGATAAACCTCAGTATATATTCAATTTTTTCAAGGTTCAACTCGAAAACTTTGGATTATAGTAGCTTGTACAAAATTTTATATGGGGCATTTGGTTTTTTCATAATCAAAATCGCTTTGGGGGCAAGTTTGCTTCATTGGACCATACCAAGTGTTGCCTAGCAATTCAGTTTCGTGACTCGGTACTAGTGTGTTGCCTATTTTCTCTTTATTTGGTATCTCGCCGCTTTCTATTGTGGCTCCATCCTTTATTCCAGTCCATTATAAGTTGTCGACGGTTGGATGGCTTAAGGTTAATATTGATGGGTCTTGCGCCAACTTACGTGCTGAATTTAAAAGAATCTTTCGCTCTTTAGAGGGTAGAGTGCTTGGTGCTTTTCAATCAAATACGAAATTTGTAAATTCAATTGCTGCAGAAATTCTTGTCTTTATTGAAGATGTGTCTATAGCTCGGGTGAGAGATTGGAAGCATATATTGATTGAAACAAATTCCATGTTGGTTATTCATTATCATTTTTTACAGGCTCCCAATTTGGTTCCTTGGTTTCTTATGGTGGATTGAAAGAATTGTCTTTGACGACTTTGTCAAATGCGGTTTATATGTACATATATTTATCGAGAAGGAAATTAGGTTGAAGATTGTTTAGCTTCATTTCAGACAAATAGTTATGCTTACCATTGGTGGTCTATAGTTCCAGACTTTGTTGCGTCTGCCTATGCTCGTAACATGTCATTTTGTCCTTATTATAATTTTCGTTGATCATTTGGTTATTGCAAGTTTTGGTAGTCTCCTCGCTTGTAATTTTTTTCATTTACTTTCCTTTTTTATTTATTAATAAAAATGGTGGAGAAGGGATGGCCAGGGAGTTCCTGGGTGTAATGATTTTCTCCCCTTTGGGAGTGGGTATGTGCCTCGCATGCAACCATTGCCGATGAGCTAATCTCGCTTAATTTTTCTTCATTAAACTTAGAAGAAAAGAAGAAGAGACAAACGAAACGTTGAAGCATGTCCAGCCCATGCCCAAAAGTCGAGAACTAGGCAATTATTGCCCAAAAACTCAAGAAAACTACTCCAGCCCATAACCTAAAGTAGGGCAATTGGGTGGGCCCAAGCTTGCTAGACAGACCCATTAGGCAATTCATGCTCGATCCCTTGTCCGAGTTCTATCTGACGTCAGCATGAAGTTAACTACACCTTTTTTTTTATGTGCCAGGCCCGTGCCATACACGCGTGCGGGGTGGTATGTCAAGAGACAAAAAAGCGTCGTGGAGACTGTGATGTAGGCTATCAACACATGGCGGAATCCATGCTTGTGGATTTCCAATGGCCATATACTCCAACAGTCCTTATTAATTAGGCCTTTTTCAGGTAAAAAAATTTGAAAATTTTCAAAAAACGAAAGAAAAGGAAAGTGACCAGTGTGCCCACGTGGCACCATTTGGTACACTTAGGGGGCGTTTGTTTGCCCTCACTAGGTTGGACTGGACTGGACTGGACTAGCTATTAGTCCAATACTGTGTTTTTTCCATGCTGAGACTAACATTAATGAGACTAAAGGGGACTAGCATGGACAAAACCCTTCACTAAGAGGTCTTAGCGAGACCCCCCAATAACCATGGGACTAGCTAAGACTATCCTCTCTTTCTCATCCTCGTCATGCTCAACGACCATTCCCGACAAACTCCTCGTCATCTCCGGTCACCTAGATCAATCATTAACTTTCCGACTCTCTTTCAGATCCATTTCACAACCAACTTTCATATAAAATATACCAAATTGAAGCTGGGAGTGACAAGATTACGATTTTACCTGAATCGAGGCCAAAATGTGGTCGAATGTGGCCAGAAAATGACCTGGAAGTCTCGGCCTGTTTGGGCTTCTTCAAATCCATGACAGATTCGAGCATTCAAAGCTAAGATCTCGGTCTAGGGATGGTGATGAATTTTTTGGCGGTGCTAACTTCATCCAATTTAATAAGGGTTGGCCGGAAAACACATCGGGAAACCTGCAACTCGTCGGGAAAATTGGAGCCGTGAGGTTCCATTCGAACAACGCATAGCTAGAGAGGGAGGGAGGACAGAGAATTAGAGACTGGAATCAATAAGGAGTTTGACCAGGAATGAGAAAGAGACATGAATTGAGAGGTCTAAGAGGAAAAAAAGAGGGAGAGGGTGGGACGATGAGAGAAGAGGAAAAGAGTGGGACGGAAATGGTAGGAAAAGATGAAGAAAAAGATAAGATCATAATAAAATATTAATAATTTATATATTAAATAATATAATATTAGAATTTGTTATTATCCAGCTTCTTATTCCAATACTGCACCAAACGCTTCACTAAGTTAGTCCAGTTTAATCTAGTCTAAGCCAATCCAGCTTAGTCCTTGAAGCTAATCCAATCCGAGATAGTCCGGCGCAACAAACGCCCCCTTAATTGAAATAATCTAACAGTCAAATTAATTTGGTTCAAAAACAATTCTACACACAAAAGCAATAAACCCTTACTCCACTAAGTGAGGTCAGCTGTACGATTCCTTACTCAATTTTGTGCCAAGTCTTCCGTTAGATCCAAGTACTCAGTCTTTTTCTTAGAGTCTTTCCAAGTCTTCCTAGGTCTTTCTCTACCCATTTAGCCCTAAGCACTCTGTCTCGCAATAACATTTTTAACTGGAGCACACGTAGGTCTTCGTTTCACATGTCCAAATCACCTTAATCTATTTTCTCTCATCTTATCTCAATTTTAGCTACTTCTACTTTACCTCGGATATCCTCGTTCTTAATCATGTCCTTTCTTGTATGCCCACACTTCTAACGAAGCATTCTCATCTCCTCTACACTCATTGTGTGTACCTATTGATGTTTGATCGTTCAACATTCCGTGCCATAAAGCATTGCTGGCCTTATTGTCGTCCTATAAAAATTTCCCTTAAACTTTAGTGGCATACGACGGTCGCACAACATACCCGATGCATCCACTCAACATGTAATCTATGGTTAAGGTCTCCATCTAATTCTCTATTATTTTGCAAGATAGATCCAAAATAGTAAAAGCGTTCATTCTTTAAAAAATAAAAAATAAAAAAAATAGAGAAAATTTTTTAAATGTAATTTCAGATAATGACATTGTGGTGACAGGATTGGTTAAAAATTAATTTGGCTAGAAAATAATGTTAAAAATTATAAAAATACAAAAAAATGTAAATGTTTTTTTCCTATAAATACCCAACCATACTCTTTCACAAAAATTGTAATTTCGAGTAATGACACGTGACGTATATAGAAAGTTAAAAATCCTATCCATAATTAATCATAATATTATCTTTTTATAAAAATTTTAAAAAATGCAAACTGCACGAGCAATTGATTTACAAGATGAATATGCACTTAGGCAATTAATATTCACCAAGGCAATAATTGTATATTGCCCAATTACCCATGAACTCGCTTTTATGCTTTTCAACAACAACATCGTCTTATCCCACTAAGTGAGGTCTGCTTTTACGCTTTTATGCTTTTCAAGATCAAAAAAAATAAATTGATGGTGTATTAAATAGGAAGCTTCAACGCCGCTGAGTCGCTGACAACAGAAAAACTCTTGGTTTTCATTACACGACAGATATAACAATGTGCACATTAAACTACGTACTACAGGAAAGGAAATTCCAATCCAGACTAAGATTCTAAATGACCGCATTATCAACCCTCGTCTGGCTAAAATTGTACAAACACCACTTCAAATTTCTAAAACAACAAATTACCAATTGGAATCTGCAGTTCCATACATCATAACCTTGGTTCATCATCCGATTATCATGAGCATTAGCCTGCAGAAGTAGGAAATCATCGTTAGTGAAGGCATGTCGACGGCTAATTTGTAGAATCTGCACTCAAATTTCAAGTGTTGAAATGAAATTACCCCATAGATGGTGCAACTTCACAGCTAACTGAGTGACAGATCTTCTCTCGGAAGGATTGGAAAATTCCATATTCACAGCTTCCTCAATGGAAGACAAGAATTCATGTTTTGCTTTCACGGGCAGGCCAAGGTAGTTTGGTCCATGCGTGGTGCTCAAGTCAGCAATCTAAACGAGTGAAAAATCATATTAAGCGTTAACATTTCAATTTGGAATACATGTCAGTTTCCAAGTAAAAATTACGTTGCATATATGATATATCATGTATGAAAGCACTTGCCTGCTGCAACCAAGGAATTACGGTGCTGATAAACCTTTGTTCTAGGAGATATGAAGTTAAAGTGCTGAGAACATCCCTGGCAGTTTTAGGCGACAAACATTCCAGAACAGGACCAGTTCCATCAAGAAGCTCAACCAGAACAATTTCATCACCCGAGCAAAGAGCTTCCACATATGCAGAGTCTAGGTCCCCTTCACATAGAAAACCTTTCACTTGTTTCCAGAGGTTATTCTTACTTTCTACAACATTTTGTCTAACTTTGGCATTAGAAGCCAAGGAAAACATAGCATCTGTCCTTATTTGACCATTACTTATCCTCTGTGTTCCCTGCCCAGGAATTTTCCTGATGTCTTTCCCAGTAGGATTCCTGGTAAGCTTCCCCATATTGTTACTCCATGTCTCTGCACCATGTCTTACAGAATTGTTTGTTCGGCTCCTGCCAGTTGTGTTTTCCACCCAAGTATCAGAATGTTTCACGGACAACATTGAAGGCTGTCGGCTGGTTATATCTATAGATGGCCTTGGAGTGCTTGTGGAGAGCCTTGGAGAATGCAAAGTTTGACTCTGTTTCATGAGTTTGGAAGTTGCTAAGTTCGAATGGTCCCTCCTGTGTTCAAAGTTCTGAGCTAACCGGTCTACAACATCCTCTAGACCCACCACCCTTGTTTGTAAGACAGACAAGCTATCCATTATGCCCGATGTAAACACCTGTTAACAAAGTTTAAACCAAGAAAATAGAAGGTTTAGAATATATAGAAAAGAAAATTCGTATATTCTAACTTCTGAGCAATATTGTGTCAAAATGACCAGCATATCAGAGTTTTTCTCTAGGAGTTTTACACAAACGGTGCAGCTACTAACATACATGCATGTCTTTATGTACCTGTAAAAGATCCATTAAGTTTGACTGCTTGGTTTCAATCTCCACAAGTTGTTTTCTAATGCAAACCACTTCATTGACCATTTGTGAACAACACCCATTTGGAGCATGGGAACTAGATTCTGTCACAGTTGAATCCAGACTTCTACGGTCGCGTATCCTTTCAGAGTACATCTGTTTCTCAGTACCACCAATCTCTTCAGCTGCAAACTGTTGATTTCTTCCCACTGGCTTCTGCAAACCACCCTTGTCAATGCTATGAGTCACAAACTTTCCCTCTAAGTCATCAGTGACAAGATTTGACCCAGAAGAACACTCTTGTTTATCATCCATAGGCACATATTCATATCCATTGTCCTGTGTGTTTGTAACATCTGTACTCGTCCTTTCTAAAGTCTTTGTAACAGAGCTACCCTCAGATTCTTCATTCTGAAATTCGGGCAAAGAAGCATTGTAGGTCTTTGGAACTGCAACTTCAAAATGCCAATCATGTTCACTGGAACGTTGATGACTTTCCCCATAACCTGGACATGTTTGTCTAATAGACAAAGGAGCTCTGCTCTTAGTTAAGCCAGTAACAACTTTCTTGTGGGCAAGATCCTTCCGTCCAGATTCACTGGCACTAGTAATATCGCTGTAGTCACCGCCAAAGAAATTTTCTGAAGAAAATTGGTATAAGCATTATGAGAAGTAACAGGGATAGCACAGTTAAAATTTTGCACAACTACAAAAGAAAAAGAATGACATCTTTATTAATTAACGCAGACTATCTATGCACTAGTAGCATTTTTACTTTACTTTCTAATAAAACTGAACAGCTACACCCTAGTAATCCTCGGATTTGATATGCATCACAAAATGTCCGTAACCCATTGAAACTGTACCAGTTTCCAGTTCTTGTCAGCTTAATTGAGACTTTGAGAGTTGAGACTATCCAGAAAGAGCACAAGAAAGTAACAGAAAACAAGTATAAACAATTATGCATTTACATCTTTATGGGAGCATCCAGCAGAAAAATAAGCATTGAGGCAAAATCCAGCAAGTAAAATAAATCTTAAGCATATAAAAGAACAGGAACCGGTCATTAAACCTTTTATTGAAGATCCAGCTTCTGAAGGTTCAGAAGTATCAGGTCCTGGAAGACTTTTCCAGCACTGTAGGGCCTGCAGGACCGTGTCCCTAACTGGTTTCACCTGCAACACAAGAAGCACCAAGAGGATCTGGTTTTAACCATCTGCATGAAAGAAGATTATCCAAGTGTAGATTTTTAACTAACACTGACCTTGTCAAAGCGACATGATTCAAGGGAACGAATGCAGGAAGCCTTAAAAGAGCCCATGAAAGATGCACCACTTGAAGCTATTTCCCCTAATGCTATGCAAGCAGCTTTGCGTGTTGTCCAGTCATTACTCTTCAGAGATTCTTGAATGCTAGTCATTGCAGCGGCGAGAACATTTTGTGTTGGAGCACCCCCTGCCTAGAATAGAGTATCGAATTAAGCCCATACAGCAAGGATATTCTACCACACAAATTACAAAGAAGTAAACAACACAAGTGGTATAAAAAAAAATGCAGCAAAATAAACACAAGCATACATAGCATCAAAACAGGCTGTTGAGCTAGTTACTAGACAACTGGCACTGTCCAATCCCATTCGATGATTAATTGAAGAACGCACCATGCCATGATTGAGATTTGAAAGGAAACACCACATAGCATGTTTTGCAAACAGAGACTGAAAGAAGATTACTTTGTACCAAAAATAAGTACACAAACTAATGATATTGATCATATACATCAATCTGTGTATATGTAATAACTTTTGTCTCAAATTTCTTTCATTGCCATACCTTGAAACTCAACATAAAAGGCCTCTCCAGAATATAACAAATACTAATTCAAAGGACGTGCAAATAGAAATCCATTAATTCAAACAGCATTTGGAAAAAAGAACTTTTAATAGCAGAACCACAATACACAACCTGTAATATCATGACTACTAAACTTACGTTTGAGTTTGAAAATTCACCTGGATAATGCTTCTGTTCAATTCAATGATTGCAGGCTTTGCCATGAAATGTGGGTTTTTAAGCAACTTTATTGTTCGAGTCAACATGGGCTGCAGAATTGAAACTGGAGGATCACGAGTATTGTCAATGACCCTGGCTAAGCACAATGCTGAACCCGCCTGCACTTGCCTGTTTTGTTCACCCATAGCTTCAAAAAGTGGCCTGACTAAAACAACAAAGATCCCATCACCCTCACCCGTGTCATTACTCAGTTTTGATGCTAAAACACCTACAGTCTCCACACATGCATCCCTCACAACTGAGTCTGGATCCCTGAGCCGCTTAACAATGCTGGCAACCATCTTGCCGAGATGCATTCCAACAAGCCCCTCATGATATCTAACTAATGTACCCATCAGTCTTATACACTCCTTTCGAACTGCACTCTTTTGTTCCGAATCTGTATCCAAAATACAAGACAGAAATGGAGCAAACCCATCTGGGGTTAAACACTCAGCCATTTTCTCTAGTTCCTCAACGCCTAATTGGTAAGTATCCCGATCAGCAAGCTTGTTCATTGCAATAACTACCTTGTGTTTTAGCTCAAAAACCACCTGTTGCGCAGTGACCCTCGCAGGTCCCCTCCCTTTAACAAGCCCATGTCTTTTCATCTTGAATAGCAACAAAAAAATACCCAATTTCCTAATTGCACAAGATTAATTCACTTCAAAGTTGGGGCTGCTAATTCAAACTATTGGATTCCTGTAAAGCCAAAGTAGAAAACAAACCAAACATGAATCATCATACTACCATGGTGAACTCAATAGCAACTTAATCACCAATAAAATGCAAAAAATTAACCCAAAACTTGAGTTAAATCTCTAAAAATACAAAATAAATAAAAAGATTCACTTCAAAGAAAAATCCACAATTTTTGAATTAGTGTTTTGAGCATCACAAACTGAAATCCAAAGTATAATCTTCGACATTTACGAAAGTCTATTAATTTTATAAAACAGGAAACTCTAGAACCCTAGAAATTTGAAACGGAGCACTTACAGATCATATTCGCCGTTGGTTCCACAGTGGAATTACTCGCCGGATTAGGAGGCTTTCGCGTTGCTACATCAGAGCGAAGTATCAGAGCTCCCTCCTCCCCCATTCTCTCTTATTTTCCGGCTCTTTCTCGGCACCCAAACAAAAAATCTAGAGAGAGAAAGAGAGGAGAAATTTTTGAAAGAATGGCTTTCAGATTACCGAAATTTGAAAATATTATAAATTATAGAAAAGGAAATAGTAAAATACTAAAAAGAAGGAATCTCAGAGAGCGTGCCAGGGACGGAGAGAGAATCTGCAGACACAGATGGCTTTTCAAATTTCGCGCTTCCTGTTTGGCTTTTCAAATTTAGAAAGGGAGCGTTTGGATTGGACCATGGGGTATTTTGGACCATTGATTTGAACCTGGGGATTTGAAAGAGACACGTGGAGCCCTTAAACAGCTCCTGATCTTCCCTACCTTAACTGAAAGATCAAGATTTGTTTTTAATTTTCTCCATGATTTCAACCCAAAGTGAACAAATATTGAATCTAAATTTTCTCCATGATTACATATTGATTTGATTTCAGAATTGACACTTAATACTATGGTCTAGTAGTATTTCTCTTCATTTGTAAGTAAAAGGTCTTAGTTTCAATTTTCGCCAAAGATGAATTTGAATCACGTCATTACTAGCACATTGTGAAACTTAACTCACTTCCCTACCCTTTTAATGTAGATATTATCGTTTGTTCAAAAAAAAAAAATATTGATTTCAGAACAAAATAACTTGCATCATTATCTCAATTTGAATTCAAACGTGACTTTGATTCACACTTTATGTTTTGAGAAATATTACCATCCGAAAAGGAGAAAAAAAGGGGATGAAGAGTGAAAGCCCACATCAATAAGAATACTTGTCGTGTTGGTCACTTAACCATGGTGAGCAAACAATTGTCCAATTTTTAAAACATCAGGTAGTTATTGAATGTTTTAACAGATTGAAACCAATTTGGAATTATTCCTAAAGATTCAGTAGTTATATGTACTTAACCCTAAAAGAATGTACGCAAATTAAATGCATTTGGTGGAGGTTTGGAAATAGGCCATACCAAATCGAACAAATAATGCAATTTGGTTTTCTTTTCTTTTCTTTTGTAAAATGTTGCTTTATTACCAACCCAATATATTACATAAGAGTAGGCCCAAATACTAATACATAGACGGAAAAAAAATAAAAGGACCTCTACAGTAACCAAGAGCCCAAAACATAAAAAGCAACGAAGAAAACCCCAGCAGCATCTAACAGCCGCCGCCGGAAAGCCGCGTGCGGACCAACAGAAACAAAGGTCCCCGGCACACCCCTGATGAGAAGCTAAATGTGAAACACATATGCATAATGTCACTCAAATTAGTGGCAGAGTTAGCTCACTAAGCCTGCAACACCCGGCAGCGGTATTCTCCCAATGCCCAGATAGGGAATATGTTCCGGTATGCAGCATACGTGATCATACAGTTCCTGTTGAAGACACCCATAATTTCCTGCAAAAGAAAATATTGAAGGAAGAAAGATCAAATGTATTGACAGCTTTGGCATACAAATTACGAGGAATCAATAACATATATTAACATCATTGGGTCAATAACACTTTGTACCATCAGGTTTGTGTTCAATTGCAACCTCATATAACATTTTTAAAACATTTCAATCCCATACACTTATTATTTCATTTCAATGTCATACATCCGTCTCATTTCTGTGTAAAAAAAGGTTATTACTGTCTAAGGCTTAAGTTGCATTGCACATTCTGCCTTGACATGGTTTAAACTGCGACTGCAGGCACACCTGTCCGGTACACTAGTCCCTTGCTACTTTCCTTGCATTCACCCTAAATTTAGTATTTTAAAGCAGGAGGTTGTATGACATTGAAATGATATAATAAGTAAATGTATGAGATTGAAATGTTTTAAAGATGTTGTATGAGGTTGCAATTAAACACAAACTTGGTAATTTACCCAATATCATTTGTTCATATCCTAACATGTGAAAATCTTCTTGTTGGATACAGTATTCACTAGAAATCCGAAATGACAAGAAAAATGCAAAATGGTAGAGGCTTAGAGCACGTTTATGGAGGTTAAGCATCTTAAACATTATTAACAAACAATGAAGTACCTCTTGAGGAAAGTCTCCATTCTCCATTTGAGAATTTATCAAAAATCTAGCTGCATGGTGCAACGGTGTTGGGTCTCTCTCAGCCTGTTCCAACAAGTAAAACACCACAATAAGAAAAGTGCAAACACAATGAATAACAACAAGGAAAGCAATCAACATCTGGAAGGACAAAAAAGGGGAGCAAGTCTTTTGGAGTCGACTTTTGGCAATTTTAGAATTGTTTGGTTGGAGAGAACTGGTAGAAATATTACTGAAAAATGTAGAGGATTAGGATTTCCAGGGATAGGGCCAGATTCTGTGTGTTTTCTGGGATTCAGTGTATGAAATTACTCGTTTAGAGAGACTTCACTTCTATTCTTAACGGGGATCATTAAAGCATGGATGTATTGTCCTCAGTTGTTAGAACTCGGAACTGAAGTGGCTTATGTTGTCTGATGAAATGCTGGTATTATACTGTGAGTTGGGAAGTAGAGGCCTTGTTTGTGTATTTGACGGACTGTTGATCCATTTCAGTGGTATTGATGTTAGTTCATTCTAACGAAACTATTTGTTCTCATCCAAAAGAATAAACACCTTAAATCAAAAGTTGCTGCACCAGAATAAGTTGAATAACAACCTACCAATGTACATGAAAGTATTTGGTTAAACTATATGCATACCTGGCCACCATCAATAAGAGCCAACATGGCCCATCCAGTATTGACCACGTGAGACCTATCACCCTCAAGATTTGTGTACACCTGTAAAGAAAAAGCAATAAGAACATTTGATGACATGAATCACAAAAAACCTACCAAAATTATACCTTCAACCAATTCAATATTGTCACCTCAGAGAAGACACGTCCCATTACTATCAAAGTTACAAGAGTCTCTTTGTTGGCAAATGCAACAATATGTAAGGTAACATTATGAATAAATGTAAAAGGATGGTGCATTTTCAAAAACAAATGTTAGAAATATTCTCAACCTTGCTAACCTGTTCTCTTTCAAATCATTGCGATAGTTTTACCAAAAGAAAAGGCAAAGCACCCAAGACTAACTGTTTTCATGGCTATATAACCATACATTGATGATGAGGGAAACAAAAGCATCATTTAGATTCAGCATATAACAAGATAGACACACTACAAACGCATTTTATTTTCTTGCTTGTATCAGAAACAACTAGCAACAAGACAATATTTGGCCACATCAATTAAATTTTGGCCAAATCAAGTAAGGAAAATATCAAATTACCGGAGTAAAGATATATGTTATCTGAGTACAGTCAAGGTCATATCCCCATGCAACTGCAGGTGGTTAAAGCTTACAAGAGATGAGATAGGATTGACACGCTTAGCTCACTGCAAACCAATAAAAGAAAAACCTAGTGTATTGACCAGGAAAGGTTAACGAATTCCCATTTTTACCTGTTTTCCAGCTTTATAACCACTCAAAACATATACAATACAAGCACACCAAACAAAATAACTACCTAACATTAATTAATTAAAATTTTCAATTTAAAGGGATTAAGGCTAAAATGAGGAATACAACAGAGTTTATAATTGAGAATTGATGAACTTAATAATTTATAGAAAAGATTTTTGAGAAATAAGAATGATGTAAAATCAATGGACTTGCCTTGTTTTGACATGATAGATAACTCTCTGACCACCCACCAGAAGTAAGTTGTTTTGATAGCAGAAAATCACAAGCTTTCCGAATGCTAGAACTATTGTTGTAGTTCCTTCCAGCAGCCACCAACCCTTTTACCCCAAACCATGTACCATAAGTGAAGCAAACCCCCCATGAACCATACCTGTTCAGCAATTATAGAAACATAAAAAGCGTGATCTTGGAACTGATAGATCAGGGAAAGAGAAAGCAGCTAGAAAGATCTTATAAAGTAAGAAACATGGGGCTAACCATGAACCATCAGATGCTTGTATCTTTTCAATAAACTCCACAGCTCTTTTGATACAGTGTTCTATTTCTTCTCGCCGATGACCAGGATATAATTTCTTAAATGATTCCAGAGCTTGAATAGAAGCTGAGGTGCATTCAACATAACTACAGAGACGTGTAGTAAGTACTTAATTTCTAGAGAAAGAAAAATGGAAGGAGAAAAGAAAAGATAGAACTGATGCAGCTCAAGGTGGTGGTATCTTACGGATAATCAATTACAATGTCACCAAAGGTTTCAGCAGGGTTGATCAACTGGAAAATAAAAGAAACAGTAGAATAGATTAGGTCTCTGTGATCTCACGAGGTAACAGTGAAAAGCAAAGGATTTTTATTTATATCATGCAATGAGTCCTGACATGCAATAGTGACTTCTCCAAGTTTCAAGTATTATTTAATAGAGAAGATGGGATCCAAGTTTCAAGTATTATTTAATAGAGAAGATGGGACTCCCCTGGCAAAGATTGTGATAAAGTGCTAAGATAAGACGTCAACCACAGGGTTGTTGCAGGAAAAGCGGGTTGAGATTACTAATGACGATACCATGAACCACATAGATTGTAAATTTTTCTTGTACATTTTCAATTATTAAAGGAGTGGTTTTCACTGTAAGGGGTTTGATAATATGCACCCACAAAATGAAGAAAAATAAGTTTTCCTTTTCTTCCCAAATTATGTAAATATGGAAATAAGCACAACTGCACAGGCAGAGTAATGAAACTGCTTTCAGTCGCAATACAGATTCAAACACTTACGGAAGGAGTTATTAGATGGCAGTTATATTACTGGACACATGCTATACAAATTTTAGCAGAACCCACCAAAATAAAATGAAGAAAAGTGAATGACAATGGAGAGTCATTAAAATGAGGCTACCTCCAACCAACTGTAAGATCTTGTGAGCTCATATGTTGCAAAACCGCCATCATTATTCTGCAATCACATTATAATAAATAGCTATCAGCGATTAAAACAAAACTTTCAGGTCATAAATCAGTTATTACAGAAAAAAGCAACGATGAGTATTCATAGGAAATATGTAGATAGGGCAAGCTGCAGGGAAGGGTATTTATATGAAACCTGCATATGGGGGAAGAATGGAGCTTCATGATCAATTAGCACAGTTCCCATTTTGATGTAATAGGTCCAAATAAAGACGGCATTGTCACA